TGGCGGTAAGAGATTTGCGGACAATGAAGAAGTAATCGAAGCTGTAAATGGTTATTTTGAGGAGCTTGACGAATCAGTCTATAGAGATGGCATTAATAGACTGGAACACCGCTATGAGAAATGTATCAGCCTTGGAGGAGATTATGTTGAGAAATAAAAAAAAAAAATTTTTAAAAACCTTGTTTTTCTTGGTCAGGCCGGAAACTTATCAATCCACCCTCGTATATGTGATTTGCGCTATTAAGACGTTACAAAAAGTCCGTTAATAAGACTCAAGTATTGATTTATTTTTTTTTATACAAACTGGCCAGGATATTTCTAAATTTCTTGACCGTGGATTCAACGATTTCGGCTCGGCAATTATGAATCTGTTAATTAGTTAGTTAATGGGTATGCTACTTTTTGCAATATGTATACATATATACTTATTACATTTTATTTTGTACATTTTCAGTTAAGTTTACAAAATTCGTATTTAACAGGTAGCTTACACTTAAATGTAGGTAAAAAGTCTTCTTATTTTTTCGATCCACATTTTTTAACAGTCAGAATTGTAAGTACAATCACAGTTATTGCTAGCGCTACAGCAATAAACAATAGAAGCGCATTCAACGTACCCCTGAAAAGAAGAAGTCATATGTTTCCGTTTAATTTGTCTATTTTTGTAAATACTTCTTATTATATATTAGTTTTTGTTCAGAATGATTTATTTACAATATTTTCTATTACTTTTAGAAATATTACATGTCATAACTAATTTGATATCATTCATTTATTACTCGTATTACATCTAACAAAGAACACGATTAAAACAATTGTTGCTGTTGTTAATAAAACTAGGATTAATAATAGGATTCCGGTTAATAAACTTCTGAAACAAAAAAAAATACATTATTGTTGTTTGTATTTAAAATAAACATTTAAAAAGGTTGTCTGTGTAGAGCCTTCAACTTAATTAACTTTAATAACATTGGTGTAGTTGTGAATGTAGTTGCATAGTTTTTTAATTTAGTATTTTAAACATACATATATAGAAAGGTATTAACTTCTTTTTGATTTAATGTAAGTAACAGATATTAATGAGGTACACACAATAATTAACTGTTCGAACCCAGGCAGTATTGGCGCTGTTTGAGGGAAAGCTATTTGCATTCTGATTTTTTATGAAGTCGTATTTAAGGGTTTTTTGAATTGACTTTGAGTTTTGTTGTTTCTATATATTGCAAAAGTGATTGCATAATGTTGTATTATTTATAAATTCAAATTCCGGCAATACTTTTAGAGAGATAAAGTAAATTTTCACCTTTACTTCTAAAATATACTTAGCACCCACATCGTCGTCGTTAAAATATAATAGATTTGAAAAATGTTGACTTACATGCATGGGCTTATACACCCCATTTCTTTGTTTACGATTTGCTTGATCAAAATAATATACCTATTTCTTGTTCTGAAAATCGCAATTTGTTTCCAAAATACGAATTTGTAAGTATATTAATTAATTCATAGGGTCCCTTTCATGTCATACTTTTATTGTACGTACTTGATCATAATTTATTATTAACGATAACGTTAAGTCGATTACTTTTTGTAGTTATTTATTTATGTAGGTATTATCTGTTATTGAGTTATTCCTTACAACCCTTCATTTAATATTTTTAATTTATTAATTATTTTAAAAAATACATAAAAGAAACTAAATAAGCAAAACATTATGGGCATGTACCTACTATTGTTTCGGATCTGTCATTCAAAATTCTACTGGTACAATTTAAATTCTTGACAAATAACTAATTAATGTATTTTCACTGTTTTGTCAATCCTTTTATATAGTTCAAAATGAATTTTGACAGTTTTGTTCGTTATATTAACTTTTTTGCCTTTTGGTCGTCCCTTTTATTTTTTATTTATCGATTATTTTGATTCACATGGCTTGTCACAAGCTACCTCCTTTTGAAGACGAGAAAGAAAACGATAACGCGCTACCGGTGTCTCCTGAAAACGATTCGAATATTACAGGTAATGAGAAAGAACAAGGAAGTAGTGTTGACTATGAAGAATACGAAATTGAGGCAACAATCAACGGGGAAGAAGAAAATCTCGAGGAAGATGGTATAATCGAAGAGAAATGTTGTTTGGAAGAAGTGGAATCAAACAGGTGTAACACTGAAATAGACCGACGAGCATGTATTTCTTATGCAGACAAAGAAACATTCGCCCATCATCTTATAGAATGTACCTTGAGAAAGGTGTTGAAGACAGTATACTCGATGAATTTGCTTAACGAATCGTTCTTTTCCGATCAATCGGTCAGGTCTTCAGTTTTTGATTTAAAGCTGACCAAGAATTTCAATCGTAGAGAAAAAATTACAGATATAGAAGAAGTTATTTACTATTTCAAATGGCCTACAATTGCCGAATTTTCATGCCAACTGATCGAAAAAAAAATCGAAGAATACATGAAAACCTGGCATTTAACGGAAGACTGGCGTTACTGTATAAAGTTGGTCGGGCAGGACTGCGTCAATAAAATGAATCGTTATCATTACGCGGTTATATGGTCACTACCAAACAAATGCTATCCTGTACCTCAGGTCGAAGCGAGAGTATTTTTTACTATTGTAATAAGAAATGATATTCCCACTTGTTGTCCCGTTGAAGTTTGCTACCGTTTTGAAGGCAACAGTCACTATCATGTACCGGGTCGAATACAATTTAAAGAACAGTGGCTTTTAGACATACTTTACGCGAAACTAAAAGTTTACAGTAGTGTCAATTTCTAATAATTTCGTGGTACCAAATTTTAATAAATCTAATGTTAATACTTTCAATCGGAAGAATTTTGAGAGAATTTTATGTATTTGTGCCATCATTCCTATTGAAATTCATTAAACATGGTATCTATTTGTTATTTATTCAAAATAATGCAACAATAAAGTATACGAGTAAATTAAAAATTTAAAAGCTACACCTAGTTTAAAATAGTCCCTTCTAAAATTTATTATTTTAGAATTTAATGACGTTTTAATTTAGAAACAGGAATATCTTGTGATTACTTCGTAATTACGCAATAGTGATAAAATTCAGAAACAGTAATTATATATTCTTAATTAAAAAAATATGATTCATTGGGAAATTATGAGAACCTACCTTTTTCTATTCCCTCTACTGATGTTAATTTTCAGTTTCCTTGTTCCTTTTTCACTTGATTTTTGTCTCTACTTCACCTCTAAATTTAATTTTAAAAATGAAGTAATATCTTTAAAAGTTATTTATTTTAAGCCTTTCACAATAAAATAATATTTATGAAAAATTCACTTACAACAAAGTAAACCAGTATTTGGACAGTGTTAATAAATACAAAAAAAAAATTGAATGAAAAACAGTTGAAAAATTAACTGATTGTCTTCATTATAATTATTAAAATTGGAGGGCTTATTTGAAATTTAAGTAAACAAACATACATATGTGTGTGTGATTAACCATGTAGCTCTGTTTGAGTGTTTTCTATTAAAATGGAGATAATTTCTGATACAATGCTTTACAAAACTGAAACGAAATTTTAGAAAAGTGCTTATAAATATCATTGTTTTCACTTAAAAGTCAAATAAATACCGAAGTAAACGCGTTCATAATCAACCCTCTTGAATTATCAATTTACATTTTCGTCATAAAGAGGGGTGGCATCGCCTAAAGACATGGAATGAGGTGAAGTGTTGGTTCTTGGGGTTGACCTTATTGATCTAGGACTTTTTCCTACATTTTTCATCCTTGATCTGTCCAAATCATTCCTTATGTCATCAAAACGTGGTGTCCTTTGAGAACCAGTTCTGGGGGTGTTTCTACCTTCACTTCGAGGAGTTGCTTAAGAAGAAATTAATTTTATAGTTAAATATCGTTTAAATGTTATATGAAATGTAAAAATCAATTTTTTTGTTTGGAATAATTATATGTATTACAATTTTTTTTACCTCCATCTCTGCTCTTTGACCTTGCTGCCCATGCTTCGGCAGCTTTCTGCCAGTCCATAGATTCACTATGGGGGTTGTAACCACGATTGTGGTCAGGATAGCCTTTTGGAGAATCGTATGATCTCGATGCTGAAATTAAAAAAATATATTGAAGCTCCTAAAAATTTTTTAGAATTGGCAAAAATGTTAACACTCCATAAATTCTGAATAAAATATTAATGGCGGGAAAGAGAAGACTATGTACACTAAAAGTAAGCTCGTTCAGTATTACTTCACCTAAATCATTTAACGTTAAACTAAAAAATTATACATAATTGAAAAATTCAACATTTTTAAAAAGGTTTTTATTCTTATCGAGAATATTGCGTAATCACTTTAGTTTTAAATTGTTAGTCTATTCTATGCATATAGTGTAGTAATATAATTCACGCAGATTTTTTTGAATTGCATACCTTCATATCCTCGTCCATGATGATCAAGCGGTGGAGCACCATATGGTAATCTGCCGTGAGGGCTGGGGTGGGGACTGGTTTGTACAAGAGGGGAAGGAGCGCCGAGATTTCTGTATGAGGGCGTTCTGTGGGATGGAGTTACCGCTCCTGGGTGCAGGAACGGGCCGTTCATGTGCGAACCGCCACTTGTGAGGGGCGATGGTGTTTGCTGACCGTAACGGGGGGTTTGCTGCGTATGGGGTGTTTGGTAGGGGGTCATGAAAGGTGTTTGACCACTGGGTGTGTAAGGCTGTAAACAGAATCAACAAATTCTATAAAATGAAATTTCTATATTGACAAAATTATAAACACCAAAAGGATTAATTTAGCTATATATTTAATTGCATTAATACCTAAAAGACGGATTACTTTATGTTAAGTTTTGAAGATATTAAGTTTATCAACAAAGTGGTAAGTATAGTTGGGTCGTTGAAAATTGGCAAGTCTGCAATAAAACTGTCGCATTTACTTTCTTCATTCAACTTACTAACTAGACTAACTAATTTTACTCACGAAATACGTTATAGGGAATATCATAAATGTAGAAAAGAGATGTCAGGTAGGAATAGCAGGGGATACTAATAAAGAAAAAGAAATAACATTACACCAATTAATGTGTAATATAAAGAGACGCAGACAAGAAGAATTTGTGTATCGTGTCAGTATCAGACTTTAACGAATGTTCAACATTATCAAGAATTTAGAAAACTAAAGACGCTTGTTTAAAGATATAATTCCAACCAGACAGTTATAAAGCCGACCCTGACCTTTTACGTACCTAACCAACCTTTAAACGTTGTACCGCTTACTATAATTCGCTTGTCTCTTCCCACTTTGTATCACTCATGAAGTAGTTCCTAACTTAACAAGAGCGTATTCAAAATACAGCAAATGACTACAGTCTCAAGTGGAAATAAGAAAGAAGATAAATCTATTCTCACAGATAATTTATTGCGGACTTTACCAATTTTGATTGTCCCAATTATACATATATTTTACACAGAAGATTAAGGACATCCTCAAACATCAGTTGTGGCACAAAAGCAGTTTACCACGTAAATTACCTTTCGTACTATAAAAATTGACTAACACTGTGCTCCCAAGCGCATAAGAACATTAACTGACCTGTATTGCTTAATATTCGACTTAGCAACGTGTTTTACTTCAATTATCTCGGATTAACCACATTACTACTCACATCCTATAGATTTGAGCTGTTTGCGCATGTTGTGATTACGTTGTGCGTTATTGCAATGTTGCCAACTAGTACGCTGCTAGTCAATAAGTTATGCGAGCAAAACTGAGATTGTCGCCACTTTTTACATTGATTTCGCGTAAAAAAAATATTCGTCTGAATATCATTTAACAATTCCCAAAATTTTAAAGGAATTGTAAAAGAATTACCATTGTTGCAAAATAAAATATAATATATATAAATCTGTATAAAACTCATAAAGCATAATACACTTAAATGGAAATTTAGAATGCCGATATTTTGAACATCAGAAGCTAGGTACCTCATGTGTCAAGACACTATCAGAAAAAAATTAATAAAACAAACCAATAATTTAAAAATTAGCCAGATATTGAATCATTTCATACTGTATTTCTTAAATGTATACAAATTTTCAAACAAAAAATGAGTCGTTTCAATTAAATTTTTAAAAAAGGATAGCAAACTTGCACACTTTTTTAATAGACTTACCGTATTAATGTAAGCACCAGCCCCATATGTTCCACCACCAGGTGTATGAGGGTAATGAGGGGTCTGATTTGCTACTGCAGATAATGTTTGCATCATATGACTTGGCAGGTTCTGCGCCACCCTCTGAATAGCTTCAGGATTCATACCTTGTTATTTAAAGGAAATTATTAATTATAGTTTGGTTATTTTCAATTATGAACCATAAAACTTACTGTTTATTCTCGGCGTAGCCCCCCCATAATTACTGGACACCCTCGGAGTACTGGGAGTTCCTCCAGGAATTGGATCCCTGAAGTGTTCTTTAAACCATTTAAACAAACTTCCGATAGAATCGAATATTTGACTCCTGAATCGAAAACCATCGGGCGTAACCGTTATAAATTCGTGTCTACACTTATTTCGGGGTAGATAAGACAGCAGGAATTTTCCCGGATAATTCTGAAATTGTCGAAAAATATTATGGGATAAACTAAAATAAGTAACTTAATACTACTCATTTGCAATTTAATTTTGCACAATTTTATGCATATATTGAGAACAAAACAAGGATTTACAATTTAAAACAGTAGTGTCAATATCAATAATTACAAATTAAATAAGTGCGGACTTGTGGCACTCCACATAATACATAAGTACGATTTGAAATGTGATTTTTATATTTAAATGAGTACTCTTCGATACGAAACTCTCAATTTAATCAATTATAAAGTAATTCAATCCAAAAGAGTGCAACAAAAAATACATAATTACTTCTGTAAATTCTTACCTTGGAAGCACTGACGACGTAATGTATTTTCGACGCATTTTTCTTCTTCTCCTCCTTAATATATTCCTCAGCTTTGTCCTTTAGTCCTCCTTCAGTATCTTTGTAATATTTGAACTGTAAAAGGTCTCTAGCATGTGCAGCCATAGGGGTAACATGTCTCGCGATAATTTCATCTAAATCTTCGAATTCCTCACCGTTAATCCATAAGGACGATCCGAGAGAAAACGCGTTCGCTTTGCCTTCTTCCTTCACATCAATATGCTGATAAATTCCATCGGCAACTTTCCAAGTTATGGTTAAATGATCAGCACCCTTACTCGACGGTCGAATGATAACTTCCCCTTGGTCCATATTTGCCATGCATTTCTCGGCTTCTGCATATGAAATATTGTGAAAAGCTGGATGCACTATGACCCTCTTAATGTATGTCTGTCTTTGTTTGTTCTTCTTGATTTCCTGCTCTGTTTTTGTGTCCTTATCTTCTGATTCTTGGTCGTAGTATGGGTCCTTTGTGGGTCTATAAATATTTTATTTAATAATATAGACATAAATAAATTAAACTTCTATTTCTAATTTACCTCCATTCGTGATTTTTGTCAGCTAAATCACTCGATTTGGACGTACAATCAACTGAAAATCTTTCTACGTCTATTTTAATTATTCTACAGTGGATTAATTGCCCTATAGACACTCTTTCTTCAGGATTTGTTACATGCTTATCACTAAGATTCTTAATATGAATATAACCTGAGAAATAAAATCACAATAAGAGTAATAAAAAGTAATACTGCACAAGTTTATAGACAACCTGAAATTCCATTATCAAGCCTTAATCTGACGCCTGTTGCTTGACCAGGACATGCTCCCGCATCAAAATGGTTCCATACGTCAGATAATTCAGGAAAATCATTTTTGAGACAGAAAGGACACTGCCAAAGACCTGTTTCATCATTACGAACAGGATTAGCTTGATCCAGTTGCTCTCCTTGAGGTTTTTTATGGGTGATACCTAAAAAATAATAACTATCAATTTGACAACTAAAATATTTCTAGAATTTTTTTTACCAATTACTGTGGAAGTTATAAGCTTTCCAATGTAAAATGTTTCGGGACTTTCTTTGGTAAGCATATCAAAAAGTTCCTCCGGATTTGCAGACTGGAATGGAGTTCTCAAGTCCTTATATCTGCTATTTAATTCAGCTCTAATGTCGTACAAGGTGATACTTTTGTTGCCTATTGAAGGAATTAAAATGAATATAGAGAAAAATTACGGAAAAGGAATTTATGAAGAACAACATTGCACGATAATTATCAACAATAAATCTGCATGAAAAAATTATACTAATTTTACAACAAGGAGTAGTTAATAACAGCTCGTAACGATTATTTAATATTATTTTTGTGTAACAGTTTCAAAAGTAAAATTAGACGTACCGAAGCCCTGTCGTTCTAATTCTTCAGCAAACGCATCCAAATCAAGATCTTTTAGCCTTTCTGGAGCTTCCAAAATCTCTTCTAAAGCTCCTGCAGGATTAGCACCTTCATCGTCGTCATACTCGAGGGCATCTACTGCCATTTTTCTTGCCCACTCATATGTTTCTGGATGTACTCGAGAACCGTCCAATATTTCCACATAAGCCTCCGTACTACACAAATAATAAAGGTAAAAGGAAAAGTATATGATGATGAACACAAATAGTGGTTACCTGTCACCTAAGCTATTGGTGTCGATTTTAACGAATCCAGAACAATTAATGAAAACTTTTGGACCCATATGACACGCAGTAACCAACTGAGTTCTGTTCTCGAGCCTTTGGTTTGTCTGTTTAAGGACTCTAAGTAAGGCTTGTCCTTTGCGAGGTCCCAAACCACATATGAACTGAACAAGATATGAAGTATGGGGATGTTGGACTGCGCGGTTTATATCTACGCCCACCTCATTAGTACGATTCACGAATTCAAGGAAAAGATTTTCTAGGAGATCTTCTTTAGGAATTTGTTCCTAAATACATACATATTAAGGAAAAATTTAACTGTAAATTTTGACAAAATGAAAAATAAAAATGATAAATTGTTGTGAATATTAAAAAGCCGGGAGAAGAAATGCATGCATAGTAACAATAGACCCAATTAAAATTGTTGAAACTTAACAAGCACTTACTTGTAATGGATGATATCTAAGTGATAATATTTCTTCATCAGCTGTACATAATTGAGAGTACTCGATCAGAGGGTCTTGCATTTTACGGGCTATTGAGATAGCTTGCCTCAATATTTCAGGATACTCCCTAAAATCAGCTACTCCCTTGTTCGAGTTAGCGTACACCTAAAATTAAAATTGATTTCTTTGTTTGAATTTCAGTTCTTTTAATTGAAGGAGTACAATGCATATATAAGATCTATAAACTTGATTTTATTTGTAGCAAAATAATTTGGACGTGTAAGCTACATTTAAATTATAAAAAAAGCATTTTATTGAAAATTTTAACGGTTTCAGTTTTTAATAGGTGAAAATATTAATCTCGTTTTTACAATNTTGTTTATAAAACCAATGAGATGCTAAAACAACTACTGCACTGAATGAATTAGGACAAACAGATTTTCATAAAATAAAGAATTATTATAAGTGTAACAAATATTTAGGAAACACACCTTAGCAAGTTCGTTGTCAATAATTTCAACTTTAATTGTTGGGAACTGCTCCATTTCGACAAGATCGGCAATTACAGCTTTTAAATCGTCTGCTATCATTAACGCTTCCCTAGACTCCCCTCCTATTGCAATAACGTGCGGTTTTTTCGTAAAAATAAAATTTCTTAAAGCTGTTAGATCCGATTCTTTTTGTAATTTTTCATCTTCGCGCCAGCTGTTCTTTCTTTTTAAAATATGGGGTAATCTTAAGTAATCTGTGATATCACCGTCAGGGGCTGCTATACACGTGAATGCTGCCTGAGAATAGTCCGGTACATAGGCGAGCCCCATTACACGTAGTCCTCTGCTAGTGTCCCATTCATCCTCCTCCTCGTCTGGAAACTCGACTTTGTATGGAGCGATCTACAATAGGAATTTAAATTTTAACAATCATTTATTTATTAACAATAATATCAATTATTTTTACCTTTATCCAATTGTAAAGTTTCCTGCAGCAAGCTTTCAAAACTGCTTCTTTTGCTTCCATTAACAATGTACGCCTAAGTTCCGTTCTTAAATCAGGTAAAACAGATTTCTTTAAAGCCATTTCTACGCATTCCATTCTAATTTTATTCCAATCTTGAACGTTTTTACTAAATTCATCCTGAAATTAAGTAGTTTTCCATATTTATGTAACAAATGTTGTAAACGGAAGAACATTAGTCTTTACCCTTATATAAAGTTGTTTAATTTCGTCAATATAAGAGCTACTCGTATTTCCGTCAATGTTTTCACTGAATGTAATTGTTATTAGTTTTTCTTCTTCAGCTAGAGATAGCTTTAAAAACTGATCTGCTGTTAAATCTCTTACCGGTTTATTTTTTACGTATTTCATGCTGTAATAGTTAGAAATTAGTTTAATGAGAAATTTTTTTTAAGCATATTTATATATCATATAACGATAATACTTACCTATAACAATTGTGGGTTTCGTCAATAACTTTCATTCCCTTTTTTGTTGGTCTTATGCAAATTTTAGCCCTTTCGAAAAAGACTTCTCGAACGCATCTTCTCACTAAGGGCTCGCGAGCTAATTGAAGGGACACCATGAATTTTGCAGCTTGTAAAACGTCATCAGGTGTAGGGAATTTACTAAAAATTAATAAAACTTCTTCCTTAAAAACTAACTTGTCGAAATAATACTACGTATTTAAAGTATCAATTTTTAATTTACTTACGCACAAACATACTCTCTTGCAAGTTCAATCGGTTCGACCGGTTCTTGTTCAACATCATGTCTTTGGTAGTTGTCTCTTAAGTTTTCGGCAAAATGCTCGGGTTGAAGACCAAATCTTTTGGCTAAAGCGTCTAACAAATTGTGAAAAAATTAGCACATCATTTAAATTTAGATTACAAAATTAACATTTACCTAAACCTGCCCTTTGGCACAAATTGTAAGAACCGGAACGTTTTGCATACTTTAAGGTTTCTGGTTCTTGTTCTTCTACTTCTTCCTCTCGTTCTTCATCATCAGGAATATCCCCTTCATCATTTTCTTGTAATCTGCGTAGCCTATAAAAAAGAAAAGGTTATATTAGATTAGTTTTTAAAATATAAACAAAATATTTAAATAAGATTTCGCATTTAATATTACACTACTATCATTTTCAATTTTTTTACCTTTCAGCTCTTCTTTCCTCTTTCTTTCTTTCTCTTTCCTTAGCTTTCCAAGCTGCATGCATGGGGGTCAAATCATTGGCATAATATAAAATGAAATGGTTATAGACATCTTGCAATTCTTCAGCAGTTTGAACGTTTTTCAAACGTTCAATGTCAGAATCTTTCATGATTCTCACGTTCTCCGGAATCGGAGCGTCTGGGTCCTTCATCAGTTGGTCCAGCTGATAAGAACGCATTTTTTCAAACAAATTCAAAAGATTTTCTTTGCGCTGTTTCAGTTGACACCATTTTGCGTCATACTTGTACACTTTCCAAAGGTCGTTGATATTTAACTCAGGCTGCACATACTCCTTTCGATAGAATGCAATAAAGGGCACTTCAAGCTGCTGATTTCGCATAAAGTCTAATGCTTTACGTATTTTACCGACTGTTTGAGGGCCCTTTTTTTGTCTCTCCTTCGCCTCAAGACTTAAATGAGCATCTTGATTAGAAACGGTGGGTTTACAGAAAGCCTGTAATAAAAACAATTAATTCAAGGAGAACTTTAACTCGTTTACATTTATTTACTTGTTTATATATCCAATCAGCTTCTTCGTTTAGTTCATTTGAGTCTTCGGGAACGGCAGTGATAGGGACTTCCCGCAATTGCATACGCTCTGGAATATCTGTATTTCGAATTTCATTGTCCAAGTCAGTAAAGAAGCCTCTCTTAAGTTCACTGGGCTCATAAACTTCGAATATTGATTTGCGTGTTGGTTTTTTGCGCGCTGCTTTTTTGGGGCGACGTCTGTGATTTAACGAGAGACACATTAATTTAATGAAAACCTAAATGTTTGACAAATTGAATTATTTCATACCTTCTTTCTCCATCATCTTCATCTTCTACATAGTCGTCTTCTTCTTCTTCGTCCTCTTCTTCGTATTCATCGTCATATTTTGTGAATTCATCAAAATCAAAATCCACACCAAAAGTTTCTTGAGCTTCTTGTAAAGCCCTAATTTGTTTTTTAAAAGTTTGAAAACTTCTTTTATGATGTTACAATTTACTTACGCGTCAGTGAAGATCGGTTTTCGTTTCTTCTTTTTATCTTTCAGAGGTCTTCCATCGTCATCAACAATAAAGTCATCAGCATCAGAATATTCTCCCTCTTCTTCATCTTCCACTTCAGGTTCTGGTTGAGGCCTCTGACTACGCTCAGAGCGGCGGTCATCATCCTAATCAATTATTGTTTAAAATTTATGTAAAATAATGTAGTCTAAATAAGCACTACATCATTTATAATTTTTTACACCTTTTTTATTGGATTTTATATTAGTATTTACTTGCACCTAATTTATATTAAAGTGGACATTGTGGCTCTGCAAATAGGAACAAAGAAAACACTAAGCTTACCTGTTCTCCTTGGTCCTGTGTTTTGCATTTTAAACATTTGTCAATTACAAATTTTTAATGTATATGTTACAGCCAAATTAATTAATAATATATACCAAATTTAGACAAAATTATCATCGGGAATTAATCAAACAATTTTGCTATTTTATGAAATATTTAGTAAGACTAATGTAATAAAAATAATTTAGTTTATTTTATGTTGCAAGGGCACACAAAGTTATGATTTGTCATGAATATAGTCAATTGTAAATGAACTTAAAAAGGAGGACGTTACTTTATTGCTTAACAAAAACAGTAATAATAAAAAAAAGAAAACCTAGGGCAAGCATAACCTTGTTTGAATCGATAATGTCAAGTTATAGTTGTCCCAGTTTTTTCATTTTTACTCTTTTTGCTAGGGCACAATCCTTATTTTTTAATTTCATTATTGGTTATAAATATGCTTAGGTGAAGTAACTTGTAGTACAATTATATAATTGCTATATAATAACATTCTTACATTACTTACATCATCAGAAAAGATTTCCATAGCAATTTTATCTTTGTCTGGACTTTCATCATCATCCCCTTCACCATCACTTTCTTCATCTTCAATACGTCTCAACCTTTTGAATTTCTATAATAATGAACATCTTTTTCAATTCTTAAAGAATTATTTTTCAACAAATTTTTTACTTGCCCTTCTTTCTACTTTTACTCCCAAATTTTCTTCTAAAAGCTCATAATCTTCATCTTCTAATCTGTCATCATATTCTTCATCATCAGATTTCTTGCGCTTCTCTCCACCAGAAGCATCTGAATCTTCACCTTCACTTTCATCAATAGGATTATCATCAATAAGATCTTTAAGTTCTTCTCTTAAACGTTCTTCGTCATCTGCAAAGAAAAAAAATGAACACAGTCTGACACAACATCTGCAACTAACCTTCTTCCTCTTCTGAGCTGTCTTCAACAGTTACTTTTGATTGTTTTAGTTTTTTACGTTCGTGAGGTTCCAATTCTTCCTCTTCCTATGTATAACATCATTTAATATTATTTTACCATAAAATAAGAAGGAAATTACATAAAAATAACTGGAACTATAATTACCTCACTTTCTTCGGCCTCTGATTCTATGAAATCGGCCATTTAAGTAACTTTTTGATTTTAACTAACACGAAAAGAGTAATAACTATTTTATTTACAATAAATAACAAACTAAATATTGTATACTTATTAAATTAAAAAATTAGAAAATGTTGATCATATCAAAATATTGACATTTGTTGTCAGCATCCATACTATAGAAGATCTATCATAGATAGAAGAGATCTATTGAAAAGATCTAGCAAGATCCAATTGTTATATACCATAGGTAGTTATACACAAGCTTCATAGATGGTAGATATATGATAAGAGTTCTCCAGCGAGTAAAACACAAAGTAATACAGAGTCACTAAGTAAGTTACCAGTTAAAACGATTAAAAGAAAGTTGGCTAAGTGAGTACATCGGAATAGTAACTTTTTTATTTACTTAGGTCAACTGCTACAACAAACTAAAAAATTTTTCAGGGCAGGTACACTCTGAGTACGGTCCTGCTGCTTTGTATATTTTCTATTGGTTATTTACATGCCCGTACTGCGAGTTAATCTGTGGTTGTCTATTTTGATAATTTTGAATATGATTTTGAATCCGCAAAACCGTTAATCTGACGATCAGAGTAGTGACAGTTTAGTTTAAACTTTTAATTTTGATGGTATTTAATTTATTTATTGGCGAAAAAAATGGATGATTTATTTGAACAAGCAGAAATGGAAGCAATTTCATACATTAAAGCTAGAGATCCAAGTATTCAGGCATTAAATCTACCTAGAAGGTTTGATAAACCAACTAATCTTCTTCCACTTTTTGGAGAAGAAAGTCAACAAGAGGATGAAAAGGTAAGAAGTTTTTTTTTAGTATTGTTGAATTCGAAAATGATTTAAAAATGAATTAATTCCATAAAGGAAGAAGAGGACGGACGTTTACAAGTTTATTTACGCTTTAAAAAAGCTGATAATATTGAGCAGTATTATGAAGTTCAAAACGATCAAACGTTACTTTGTAAAATACCCAGTGATGCACAGTGCGTTCGTAACATTAGGAATGAGAAGATTGTTAAAAAGTATATATTCACAAAAATATTTCCTCCTGATGCAAAACAAGTAGACATCTTTAATGGGGTTGTAAAAGAAAAAGTGTTAAGATTTATTAATGGACAAAACTGTTCATTATTCACCTATGGTGCATCAGGATCTGGCAAGTATCAATTAAAATACCAAGAATATAACTCTATTAATAAAATACTTGTAGGAAAAACCTTTACAATTTTGGGTACAGATCAAGAGCCAGGGATAATTCCAAGAGCTTTAGAATACTTGTTTCAAACATTACCACAGCTTCATGAGCATACTACTATGAAACCAATGCATCCTGGTTTAATGATAAGACTTAACAGTTCAATATGCAAAACTGAACGAGAAGCATGCTATCAAATTATTAATTCAGTATCTGACCGTAAATTGCATTGTGAAATGTACAGGTATTTAATTTCTTATCATTATCTGTCATAATAGTTGTAATGTATTTTTGTTTTTATTAAGATCAATGCAGAAAAGACTAAGCAACGAACCAGGAGCTGTTTTAGATGAAGCAGATGATGTCAATTTGGGGGTTTGGGTAACATTTGCAGAAATTTATAATGAAAGTATTTATGACCTGCTAGTGCCTCAGCCTCCTAGAGGGAAATCTAGACAGAAATTGTGTTTAGGAGCCATTAGAGGAAATAATTATATTAAAAATTTAAAAGCTGTAAATGTAATGTCAGGTTTAGAAGCTTATATGGTGCTTCAGTATGGCCAACAAAACTTACAATACGCAGAAACACAATTAAATTCTCATTCAAGTAGATCCCACTGCATTTTTACCATTAAATTAGTACAAAACTCAAAAAAAGACAATGGGACTTCAATGAGTCAATTTCATTTTTGTGATTTAGCAGGTTCTGAGAGAGTTAAAAAAACATTAAATATTGGTGATCGGTTAAAGGAATCTAATAATATAAACAATTCTCTTTTGGTCCTTGGAAAATGTATAAGTACAGTCCGGGACATACAAAAGAACAACAGTGATGGTAAAATAGTACCTTTCAGAGAATCAAAACTGACTCGGTTATTCCAGAAAGCGTTGTCAGGACATGAACCAATTGCAATGATTGTGAATTTGAATCCCTCAAGGATTATGTTCGATGAAAGTTTACATGTTCTCAATTTTTCTGCTATTGCCAAAGATATAATAGTTGAAAAGACAATAATTCGAAATGAGAGACGGGAAAGTAGATTTTCGCAATTCTTACAATCAAAAAGCACTGGTATCAGTGAATTCCAAAAATATTACGATGAAGAAAAGGAAGCACTTAAATCAATCATATGTCAACTTCAAACTGAATTGCAATTAAATGAAGATACATATCAAAGGGATCGCGCCAGAATTGTAGCGGGTTACAAGGACATTATTGACAACATAGAAAGGTGCCACCAGCAGCAAATGGCGAACTTAAAACAAATTGAGGACAACAAAGTGAAACTTTTGGAGGGAAAAATTAACATGTTGAAGAGTCAGTTGGATAATGATTGTAAGAGTGGCATAATTGATCTAACTATGGATGAAAATGATATTGATTATTACATAGAAGAACTTGAAAGGTGTCAAAGAGATATAGAAAGACAAAAAATCCACTATGAAGGTGAACTACGGAAAAAGGATGTGGAAATTACATACCTAAATAAAAAACTTAGCATAGCAGAAGAAGACAACCAGAAGTTACATTTACAAGAGAAAATTAAGCAGCTTGAAGAAGAAGTTGCTACATTAAAAGATACTTTAAGTGATGCGCAGAATGATTATGTAGAGTTAGAAGCTAAACTTTCTGAATATCAGGACTTGTATGAGGCGCAGGTTTTAAAAATAGTCCAATTAGAAGAAGAAAATTCCCAGTTAAAAGCTGCATTGCATAATAGTGTTCGTGATTCGGAGGACGATTTTGAATTGGATTTGTAATAGCTGTGTTTTAATATATTTTGATAACTGTTTGTATATACATTCCTATATTTCATTAATACTGATATTATTAAGTACAAAACATAATACATTCTTTACAATTATCTTTTAACTGTACAAACCTTTTTTAAGCTACTAAGTTAATAATAAGAACAGTAAAGGCCCTAGAATGGTACCTTGGGGAACTACGATTTCTAATTGAATTAGTTGATTTATTCATTTACTTATTAAAGTAACTAATTCATAGGGGGGGGGAGGTTTAGACACTGAGACACTGTGTGTGGGTTGGCGAAACAAAAAATTAAATATAAAAAATATATCTACTTTTACTCTTTATGTCCAAAATTTATTTTTTTCTTATGCTTATGTTAATGAATCATTTTTATTTTTCATAAGTGACTAATGAAGTGATGATGCCAATGCTGAGTAACTGAATTAGTTGAGTAATTTGTTTTCCATACCTTAACCTCAAACCACAAGTAAACATGCAAATTTTGTTTGTTTAAAGCGTTAAATGTAATATTTTCGTAATTTAAATATGAGTAGACCTCAACAGTTTTTGGAAGATGCTATTGCAGCAGCTAAACGAGCAGTACAATTTGATACTGACCAACAGTATGAACCAGCAACATACTTTTATACAATTGCAGCAAAACTTCTTGTCAAAGCTGCTGACATAAGTGAAGCAGAAAAAGCTACTGCGTTAAGAAAAAAATCTCAAGAATATTCCCAACGTGCTGCTGTCTTAGAACAACTTAAAGATGCTGAATATTCAACTCAAGCTGAAGACGAACACAAGAAGAGACTGAAACGTCTACATTTTCTTCTACAGCAGGGTTTAGATGCAGATAATGCAGGACTAAAAGATACGGCTGTCGACTTGTATGCTCAAGCGATAGAATATGTAACTCATTATCCAGAATTTATGCATGGGGAACTTAGGGAGATTGTGATTCAAGCATTAGAGAGAGCAGAAGCATTAAAAGGTATAAAAAGAGTCAGTAATGAGGCAACAAGTAGTGCTCCAGAAAATGTGTCAAAATCAAATTTTAAGCCATTACAGTTTGTACCAAAAGCTGCACCCACGTTACAAAGAAGTTCAAGCATTCAGTTAAAAGTAACAGGAGGAAAAGATGGATACACTGAGGAAGAAAAGAGAGTTTTGTTTCATACCTCAAGAATAAACAAAAATGAATATGTTCCCTTTATGTCTATAGATTTAAAAGAAAAATTTCAGTATGCTATAAGTTTTACTGATAAAGATGGTGTATTAGCACTTTCACCTAAACAGAAAAGGGAGTTTGCTGGTTGGGTTAGACCTGAAGATATTTGCACTGATCCATGCATAGTTGTAGGAGATCATCCAGACTATTATAGCATTAAGCAGACCATTGTGTCTGATTGTTCGTTTGTAGCAAGTTTGGCTGTTAGTGCACAGTATGAACGACGCTTTGTTAAAAAGATTATTACTGCAAAAATATTTCCAAGAACTAAAGATAAGCGCCCTATTTACAACCCTTTTGGGAAATATATGGTCAAACTAATATTAAACGGTGTAGCAAGAAAAGTGATAATTGATGACACATTACCAATTAGCAAGCATGGAAGGCTGTTGTGTTCTTATTCTAGTAATAGGAATGAATTTTGGGTTTCACTTTTAGAAAAAGCATACATGAAAGTTATGGGAGGATATGACTTTCCTGGTAGTAACAGTGTAAGTAAAAAGAAAGCCAAATGCTATACATATTAATAATTATAATAAAGCTTTATGCAGGTTAATGAGTTAGCTATGCTATGCAGCGTTGCTTGTTTTTTTTTCAATTGTACCAGAATGTCGTACAAAAATGTATTAAATACTTTGTACAAAATAATAAGAACTGAGGGATTTCCCCACCGAGGGCAACGCTGTCCTCACTAAATCTCGTAACTCGTAATCAATCGTTTCGAACGCTACATAAGCATAACCCACCCATATTGAAGATCCTACGAATATAGTCAACCAGATAGCATAATCAGGCTAAATAAATATTTGAAGGCGGTATCATTCGATTCATAGGTTTTGTTTGTTTCAGAATAAATATTGTTTATTTTTCTGTCCTCATTTAAAAATGTAATTAGCACAAATGTACTAAAAACGATGAAATTATATTTTTGAACAAAAAAGGTTAAAATGTGCTAGATTGGTACAATTTTACCAACTCTGGCAACGCTGTTGATATGGTTTACAATGGCTTACATTTGTCGTCTGTATTGTTCATTCAGCCTCTTCCGTTGATACTACAAAAATAGGAATAAAAGATATCTATTTTACCTCATACGATAAGAAATATTTTTCTGTTTTTTATGCAAAAAAGGTACTTTACTTAAAGTTAGATTATTGTCTTATTGTAGAACATAGATCTACATGCTTTAACAGGATGGATTCCAGAACGTATAGCGATAAGAAGTAAAGAACAGGATTTTAACAAAGACGCTCTGTTTAGTACGTTAGAAACGCGTTTATCTAAAGGGGATGTATTAATTACTACGGCGACAGGGGAATTATCAGAAGCAGAAGCAGAAAGAACGGGACTTGTGGCTACACACGCTTACGCAGTACTTGACGTTCGAAATGTAAATGGTGTAGGTTTTAGAATATTATGAAATGTTGAAATATTAATAGCTAAAGCACATGTTTAGGCCAGGTTGTTGAAACTTAAGAATCCATGGTCTCATTTGAGATGGAAGGGAAATTATTCAGAATTGGACACAAGACATTGGACGCCAGAGTTACAACGTTTATTGAACTATGATCCAAACAGTGCATCTCAGTTTGATAATGGAGTATTTTGGATAGATTATGATAGTATTTGTGCTTTTTTTGAAGTATTTTATTTGAATTGGAATCCCGAGCTTTTTCAGTATACATATTGTACCCATCAGTAAGAGTTGAATGTTCTTATTATAATAGTCTTCAAATTCAGTAATGGTCTTGTTGGCTTATTATCTATTTTTACTTCGTGACTTTCAGAGCATGGCATGCCTGCACTGGTCCTGTAAAGGATCTCTACAATATAGGAAATAATCCTCAATTTTCCTTAGAAGTAGGTTTAGAGACTAAGGGTGCCATTTGGGTTTTACTTACCAGGCATATAACCGAAATTGACGATTTTAGGGAGAATAAGGAATATATTACTCTGCTTGTTTACAATACTAATGGAAAAAGAGTTTATTATCCTAGTAAATTTTTAATTAAATTATTTTATAAAACTAACATTTTAATCAAAAATGTTCTAGACGATCCTTCACCTTATATAGACGGCGTAAGAATTAACAGTCCCCATTATTTATGTAAAATAATTTTGAATCCAACTAGTAGTAAAAAATATACCCTTGTTGTATCTCAGTATGAAAAAACTCAAACTATTTTCTATACAATAAGAGCTTACTCCACCTGTCCGTTTACATTAAGCAAAATTGAAGATCCGTATGTTCACACTAAAGAGGTTTTATTGCTTTTAAATTCTTAATTTGATGTAAATATCTGGAGAGTATGAATTCATTGTAGGTGACAGGGGAATGGAAGGGAGTAACAGCAGGTGGTTGTGGAAACCATCAGTCTACATATAAAAATAATCCTATGTACAGGGTGGAAATTGAAGGGGTTAGAAGTGATAATGAAATTTTAATTGAATTAAAAGGTCCAAAACAATATCAAATTGGTTTTGATGTTACTATTGCAAGTGTTAATGATACCACTGTTACCGCTCCTTTTAAAACCACAACATCAGGACCTTTCAGGTAAACATCAAAATATTTATTAATATGCATCCTGGGCTCATAATAACGCGGAAAATAAATGTGTTTATTTCAGGTCTGGTTTTGTAGTTTTAGAATTAAATAACATTCCTTGTGGGGTGTTAAATATTGTTCCGAGTACATTTTTGCCTGGTCAGGAAGGACCATTCATACTGACGGTTAAATCGCGGTTACCATTACAAATTTCTAGAGAGAGATAGCAGTTTTTTTTTAATAAACTATTACAATTTTACAGCTTTCATTGCACTACAATTGTTGGCCTGGAACCGCCTTATCATATCTACTTTGCAATAAAATTTTACATAGGTACGTAATATAATTTCAATTATGAATTTTTGAAACGATAAAAAGTACACCACGTCCTTCGTTTTAAATCACACGTCTGTGAAGAAAGTGAAAGAATTAAAAGCACACCTGTGAATTTGTAAAGGTTTCATTTTATGAAATATTAACGCCTTATTCTTATTTATTGTATGTAATTGTTATTATTGTATGTAATTTTGTATCTTTGCTACTGTGCATATGGAGTATCTGCCACATAATAAACATAGTTTAATTTTTGCAAAATGGTAATTAAATGGCAAAATGTTGGTTTTGTTGGGTACTGTTCTAAAACCACTATTTGAAATTTTAGTTTAGTGTTATACATTTACTATGGGACCTGTCATACCAAGTATACTTTCATTTTTACTCTGACTTTAATGGTACCAAAACGTACTAAATTTTACTCATTTTTGGCTTTACACTCTACTGAGTTCAAAAATTATTGATATGTATGTGAAAAAAGATATGGGGACATTCCCTCAGCCGTTGGCGAGATTTGGTAAGATGCGGTGAGATCCTCTCCCCTCAAGTGAAATTTACCTGGGCAAAGTGGGACACCTCAATAAAAGTAAAAAAATGAATAAATTTATTCATTATCTGTATTTAAATGATGTAAAAGTTATGTTGAGATTTAAATGACTCCGCTCCTTTTAAATGAGATTTGATGAGATTTTATTGGATCCCCCTCATATTTTGAGCTAATGTAATTGATGGATGCCTCCTTATAATTTATATTCAATAGTTAAGGGTCAAGAGGAATAAAAACATGAAGTTTATTGTCTTTTATTTTATCAGTCATTGACAAGGGAAGGTTCTTTGAATTCATCACCTTCTGTATACAGTAAAAGATTCTTATTCTCGGTTTCTTTATTCGCGTTCCTGTTCCTGTATTCGCGGCTAAACATTGACAGCAATAGACCGCTCGAACCTACTGTGAATTTTTCCGAAAATATGGGTTTCTATTCTAAACATTGTGATTTAACGCTGCGAGATAAATATGTGATTTTTTTTATGGTAATAGACAAAGGTTCACATTAACTCGGTACGTGTTTGGTTTTCAATAATATGGTCATTAAAAGCTTTTACAAGTGCTTAAAGTTGATGCTTCTTGTAGGACACGTATTTTCAATAGAAATTAAAAAATTAAAAAAGCTTTATCTATCTTACTACAAAATTTCAAACCTCTGTTTCAAACATTAAACTCATGATATGTAAAACCGACAACCATGTTTTTACTCTACGGCGCATGTACTACTGAATCCCCTTAATGTATCGGCATCTTTTGAGTATGTACAGCTGGTACGTGCCGAAGCTGTTTTTATAAAAGATTTAACCGAGTAGAAAAGGATTCAGTGTTATTTTGCAACGTATTAGCATCTTTTGAGTACTATCGGCTCGTGTTGAGGTGACTTTTAAAAAAGATGTAACCGAGTGGACTAATTTCAAAATTCTACTCTTGTCTATAGCTGATTATAACGATTAATTTTAATTGCGAATTTCTCAATAAATTGATTTTACTTTGATACATATTGGTTTTATTTTGGAACCTTAGAATGTATCCCCTATGATTCCATACTAATTACCATACCATATCAACGGTTTCTGTATTCGCGACATATTTATGGAACGTATACCCGGCGAATGAAGAGCTTTTACTGTAATTATTCGGATAGGTGCCTACATCTTCTTCAGATTAGATTAATCTTCTCGTTTAACTATAATATAATATATATTACGTATACTGATTGACATGCATTTTCATAATGTTGATATTATGTAACCACCTAATTTTCAAAATTGACTTTTTTGAATGGGTTTGCAGAAAATTGGCAGTTTTAATATAGGTAGTGATGATTAATTACGATTTCGGGAAAACATTATTAGAAAAGGTTTTCGACTTTTGCAATTCCCATGTGGATTTGATCATTTTGTACTTTTGATTTTATCAGGTATTTTGACTCCGCTGTCGTGGAAGTACTTATTACCATTTTATTACAGACAATGAAAAAGGCAACGACAATTTTCATTTAACAAACAGATAACAATCGCCCTGTTAACCCAAACAGATTTAATCAATTATCGCACCGTACAGGAATACAAACGGTAGGAACTGTTCCTATACCAATTTATTAAGGAATTCCCATCATAATCAGTGAAAAACTTATTGGGTTTCAAAATTCAATAATCGTAATGGATTTTACATAGTGTCCTTAATATAGCCTCCGAATCCCTGAACTGTGACTTGCTAATGAATACAGTGTGGCGGTTCGTTAATAGGCACATGCAATTCCATTTAATAAAGGAATATTAATCTACTTAGTGGTCCAACAGTTTGAGGAAATTTGATTAGACTCCACACGTTTCCAATTCCTTCTCTCCTCGACTGCTTTTGTAACATGTTACGTATTGTTTGAAAACAACAAGCAATCGTCTTGCATTCCACTCCCCCACAGTCTCTCACTCCCATTCGCAAAGCAATGTTTGCACATAAATTGAACAAATATTAACACTTTGTTGACGACTGTTTAGTTTTAGTTTCCAATAATAGTTTGCCACTAAACTTAACTAAAAATTAATGATGGTATAAATTTAAAAAAGTCGATTATTTTGACAGGGCGGTGTTGGATTTGTTATAGCGAATTATCGTAAAAAATATGAAAGGAAGAGTATCGGCAAGACCTTATTTGATAAGAATGCAGATGTTTTGCATGGAATTTGGACGCTATAGGAATGTCCAACTGATACATGACCAAAACGTCAATTCTCCTTGAATATTGAACATTAGGGGTTAAAATAAAGTACTAAAAAAGAAACTAATGTAACCTAACTCAATTCTAACCTAATCTAATACAGTACAAACATTTTTTGGAGTGATCCTTGTCTGGAGTCCTATTCCATTCCAATAAATTTTTTAATGTGCTAGGTTAGGTTAGGGATGAGCGAGCTTACGTAAGTGTCTTGTAATATTCGTTTACTTACAATTAAATTTCGAAAAGAACGCTTTTGGTCCCTTATAAGCTTTCAAGATTGTACTAAACTTGCATTTGGTGCTTTGGTCGTAATGAGACGTCCAATTCTAGAACTTTGTGTTCAATATTATTTTCGCCATTAAAAGTGGCAGAAATTAATTTGGGCATTCTCTACGCGTTGGTGTTGTTAATAATAATTGTTAGTACTCAATCTGAGAGTAGGTCATGCATATTTGTTCAATAATAAGCTAAGAAGGCCTAAGCGGCCACGGATGCTTCACGATTCAAAAACTTGTCAAAGAAATGGGGATTGTAGCTTATGATTACCTAATTAAGAATATAGTTATCAATTAAACCTTTAGCAAAAGTTAGATCAAGACGGAATTAGGGATAGGTCCAAAATTTGAATACCTGGTACGAAATAATTTTTATTCTTATTAATTATTTATTCGTTAAGTTCCAGAAAGCATATAGTTAATATTTCTCCGTAAAGTATAACAATGAGTAAAAACTTTTCAGAATTTTAATCCCAGATTTTTTGTGGCGTGATTCCTGTGTGTCCCTGACATTAAGTTTCTTAGAAAATCGATTGAGCTTTCACATTTAATTATGTTCTTCATGTTAATATAACAATGGATTTACGGAAGTCAATGTGTTCAATATTATAATTCTATATTGTTGTAGGTATAGGAAATTTGTTTTGATAAGGTTTTTCCGAGAATCACATACTTGGTATAAGGGAAATAGGTATCTATCCTTTGATATTTCCTAAGACTTATCATATGTAGGTATACCTATAGATAAAAAACAGGGCGCAAGAATAATAAAATTATTGTACGACTTCACAAAAGAACAGCAAAATGATTAAAATATTTTAAGTATAATCATAATTGGGGTGTCAAGTCCTTCACAAATAAACATCAATATTGGTAAAAAGATATTCATCATCATCATAACGTCATCAGTCCTAAGACTGGTTGGACACGTACCTCCACTCATTCCTATCCTGAGCTAATCTTCGCATTTCCCTAAAACTAGAACAGCCCACATCCTTAACTATTTGCGAAGAGTAATCTAATCTAGTTCTACCTCTACCCCTCCTAACTCCTGTTTCTGCCTCTAATATGTCTCTGACTAGACCTTCATGCCTGAGAAGGTGTCCTACTAACCTATCTCGCCTATTTTTTATTGACTTCCANTAAACTTCACCATTTTACATTCTTAATTCTAGTCTTCATTTTTCGTTCTTGTTTATTAAAGTTTGTTATCGTTTATTCCGCATTCTATTATTTAACCACCTCAACATCAGAACACACAACGAGACCAAAATAGAATCTGCTACCACTAAACTGTGGGTGGGTATTTTTGTGGAACGCATTATTAAGCTATAGGTATCTATTCTTGGAGATCTAATTGGCGGGACATATTTACAATTATTGGAAGGGTTAGTTTATCCAAAGTTTTATTCATATTTACTTCATTCACTTAATTCTCCTGTAAGATGGTATACTACCTCATTATGCATTAGTTGTTCGTCATTTTTTGGATCAAAATTTCCCTGACTATTCGATCTGCTCAATTAAATGGCTCCTACAAGATTTGCGAATACAGGAAAAAAACAAACAGCACTTGTAATTACAATTTAATAATTATAAAACAAAAACCTACCTAATAAATTTGGTAATAAAATTGTATTGGAATTGGGTCGTTTGTACTAATCTTCTAATTTGTATTATTTGTTTATTATTATAGATACTATAAATTATTTGTTATTTCGATATAGTTCTTGTGTTTGTGTTTACTATTTTTCTTGAATAAAAGTATATTAGTATACTTCATTTACTTTCTATAGCGATGTGCCTCTTCCAATGTCTAGTGCTGTTCTTTTCTACTTTGCGCCGGTCAAACTGAAGGTCACATCGCTACAGAAAGTAATAGGTAGGTACTACATTTCGAGAAAGATTGTAGTGTCTGGCACCTCCGCCATATTTTATTATATACATATAATGCTTTAATAAACCTTAAGTCATATATACAAATATTTAAACAAAAAAAGCTAACCCCCCGTTCTTCGTTCTACAAGACTTATTCCTCTTAGTACAAAAATGAATAAAAAACAAAAATCTAATATTCGTTCTAAAACTTACACTAATAAAAAAAATGCAAATCATACTTTCTATCATCTAAACAAAAAATAAATTAACTTTTTTTTTATAATCCCCCCTTATTAACGTCCATTCCTTACCCTTTTTCTTTTCTTTAAAATTTTTTTTAATATTTTCAGCCCTCTACCATTCTCAATTATCAATTCTCTACATTCTTCCATTACATTATTTTTTACATCCTCTTCTAACGCACGTCTTAACATCTCGCTTCTTTCCTACATATTCTGCATTTTCTTTCTTGTTCTTTCATCCATTAATTTTATATCTATTCCGTCCCTCAAATATTCCGTTAATAAGTCCCATTGTCAAATCTTTCGCATATTTTTGACTTCTGTATACTCCTTCCCCTCTGGTTATTTTGTAACTCCTTTTTTTTTAACATGTTCCCTGTATACACTCTTTCTCTTTTCCACTTCTCTATTTGCTCCTGACTTATCATTACCTCTCTTAGGGATTTTACTCTCCTTATTATATTTATTTTCCAAATCAATTCTCAACACTTTTCTTCTCTATATCTCTTTTCTTATATCTTCTTCATGCAGTCCTCTTATTTTTTCTTCGTATCTTACTACTCTTTTTCTTGTTTCTTCTACCATCTTACCATATTTAGTTTCCCTTCTTAGAATTTAAGAACATCCCATATCCTTAAGTATTTGCTAACAGTAATCTAATCTAGGTCTACCTCTATTCCTCTTAACTCCTGTTTCTGCCTCTAATAAGTCTCTGACTAGCCTTTCATACCTGAGAAGGTGTCCTACCAACCTATGTCGCCTATTTCTTATTGACTTCTATAGAGTCCTTTGTTCACCTATTCTTTCTAATACCTCTTCATTTATAACTTTCTCTATCCACGGTATTCTCATCATTCGCCTGTAAAATTACATTTCGAACGCTTCTAACTTTTGATTTTTTTCCGCCGCACCCAACAATCTTTTTCGAATTTCTAAATTAATTTTATATTCCTAATTTCTAAATTAATTTTCTATTTCGAATATCTAAATTAACCGTTCGCGAGCATAGAAGCGACTTTTTTTATAGGTAATGAGTATAATTCATTAAACAAAATTTGAATACACTCAAATTAACATTTTTTCTTTTCCTTCCTTGAGTTAGAAGCGACCTAACGATTGTCAACAATTCATAATCAACAAGGGCCTTGATGTTTTCACTACAATATTGCTATGAAATGATCAAATCGTTACTGAATGGTTTTTATTTCTAGCAATGTTTCGCAGAGAGGTCATATTTCTTAGTTTGGCCTGTCAATTTATTTTATCACTCAAAAATGCTTTATTCGACCGTAAAGAGGATTGAAATGAACGAATTGTTTTTCGAAAATGATAAATGTAGAAATTAAGTAGTTAATGCTTTCAACCAAATCATGAATTAAAGAGCAACTGAAAGTTCCAGTGTCATTTTCAATATCCAATTTAGATATAGACATCTTCCGTGAAGTGCGTACATAGTGTGGCGATTTGATAGTTTTTAAGAAAATAGTTAATTTTTTAGAGTGAAGTATTGAGTGTGTCGTTGTATATATTTTTTGGTATGTCTGTGAAAACTTTAGTATGTACTTGTATTTGTGTGTTTGGAATTTCTGTATTGTTGTATTATTATTGTGTAAAAATATTCTTTTCTTATAATTCTATTTCTATACTTACTCTATTCTATACCTACTCTATACCTGTTCTTCAGCTAAACGTCTATTTAATGCCCTACGTACTTTCCTATCATCCCTTTTAACAATTCAACTGTGTATACTAACTGCATGACGTCTATAATTCTTACTTTTCCTAATTGCAGTTTTATGGTCAGTTTCTTCGGTGATTTGGGGTCAAACTTAACTTCTCAGTATTTCTTCTAAACTAAATTTCCAGATTTTACTAGTATCCTATTGGTTCCCTACTTTAATTAACTTATATCTAACTCCTCCTTATCACCCTTCTTACGATCTCTTTTTCAAAAACTAAAATCAGTTCTGACTTATCCTTCCTAATTTCAACTTCACCATTCTACATTCTTAATTCTAGTCTTCATTTTTCGTTCTTGTTTATTAAAGTTTGTTATCGTTTATTCCGCATTCTATTATTTAACCACCTCAACATCAGAACACACAACGAGACCAAAATAGAATCTGCTACCACTAAACTGTGGGTGGGTATTTTTGTGGAACGCATTATTAAGCTATAGGTATCTATTCTTGGAGATCTAATTGGCGGGACATATTTACAATTATTGGAAGGGTTAGTTTATCCAAAGTTTTATTCATATTTACTTCATTCACTTAATTCTCCTGTAAGATGGTATACTACCTCATTATGCATTAGTTGTTCGTCATTTTTTGGATCAAAATTTCCCTGACTATTCGATCTGCTCAATTAAATGGCTCCTACAAGATTTGCGAATACAGGAAAAAAACAAACAGCACTTGTAATTACAATTTAATAATTATAAAACAAAAACCTACCTAATAAATTTGGTAATAAAATTGTATTGGAATTGGGTCGTTTGTACTAATCTTCTAATTTGTATTATTTGTTTATTATTATAGATACTATAAATTATTTGTTATTTCGATATAGTTCTTGTGTTTGTGTTTACTATTTTTCTTGAATAAAAGTATATTAGTATACTTCATTTACTTTCTATAGCGATGTGCCTCTTCCAATGTCTAGTGCTGTTCTTTTCTACTTTGCGCCGGTCAAACTGAAGGTCACATCGCTACAGAAAGTAAACGAAGTATATAACCGAACTGTTACAATATCAGTGTGATTTTGTCACCTCGCAGACTTTTAGTGTATCTATATAAACAATATAAGCTCGTTTTAATTCAACCCTTCCTGAAAGTCTACCAAACCAACAATTAAAATTTATTGGTTGATTGTTTAAATGACTTTTTGACCAATTAAAAATAACCATTGCATTGTTAATTTTATTTGGTTATTTCTTTAAATTTAAGGTAATTTGGAGATCTTTCTTTACTGATTGTTTAGCGCCGACTCAAAATTATTTAGGTATACTTACATTAGTTGAAGAACTTAATTAATAAAATAAAGGTTTATTATTTTTTGCTTCTCAGTTTTTTCGGTGGTTTATTTTTTTGTTAACATTTTTATTTTTGTTAAAAAGTTTTTATTTTATAATTTTTGTGGCTATAATTACTACAACTACTACTACTATTATTATTCTACTATAAATCATACCCTGTTTTTCTACCCCTAGGGTTAGATTTTTTCCAAGTTTATATAGGAACATTATCGCGATATACCTATCCTTTCCAATAAAAAAAGCATTATCAAAATCGGACTATTCTGTCAAAAATTATGTGTGGTCATACATTACAATCAGTGACTGAACAATAATCAACAAACATCCCCTGTTTTCCTACCCTTAAAGTTGGAATTTTTTTCCAAGTTTATATGGGACCGACTTCGGGGTATACCCTTTCCAATAAAAAAAGAATTATCAAAATCGGACTACTCTGTAAAAAATTATGCGTGGTCATACATACAAAAAAAAAGCGTCGACTTGAAAAACTCCTCCCCTTTTTCGTCGGTTGAAAAGAAACTTTACCACTGTTTACAAAAATGCTGTCTTTGGAGTAATTGTTCTTTGTTCCTGTGTCTTGGTTAACACATGGTTGAAATACAGAGACAAACTATTTTATTCCGAAATTTTTTACTTTTTTTAAGTATATTTTTGGTACTATTTTGTTTGCTAAAAGGTTAATTTATGAGTTGAAAATAGGGTAAACTTTCGAGTTTTGATAACTCGACACTATTTTCCTTGTCATGATAAGCTCGTGGGTAAATAGAAAAATTTGTGCATGGAAGAATTATATAGGTATAATCAAAATATGAACACAAATTCATTGTACATAATATTGTGTATTTCTTCTCAATTTTAACATTTTTATAGATCACGTTCCTACATCATTAATATCACAAATGCGTCATTTTGTTTTTATTTGACAAGAAAGTAAAGTAGGGCGCTAGGAATCCGTTAGTTGCGATTATTGAGCAAAAGTAAGGTCTAATAAACACCGGTTTCTATTTATGTATTTGAAGAAGGTAATATTGTCTGGTAGCAGGTTGTTAATTAAATAACCTCGTGTGTACACTGATGGTCAAACTTGTAAAATTGAATTGAACTAACCGGGTACCAAAGTTTCGCGATTGCGTTGTAATTCTACCACCGCATCGTATCGTTTGGACGGCATTGACAGTACAAGTGGCAATTTTCACCCCCATTCGCACAACATAAACGCACGTACCAACATCATCGTGTATAAAAGATTTTTTAGCCAACATAAGTTTGAAAAAGTTGTAACATATTTTTTTACAGAATTTACTTTAAAATTTAAACATTTTGCGGACGTTTGTTCCGGGTTGATCGTCCAGAGCAGAAATTTTGACATTGTTGAAGAGTTAGTTCGTAAAGTTTGACGGAACATGCAACAAGTTCTTTTATTCGGATTCATTTGCATTTGGTACGCTTCTTGGTGCCTAGCATTTCATGATGATTATGACAGTAATAGCAACAGTTGGGAGGAACAGAGGGCAGTTTTCAAAAAGGACGATTCAAAAAATTATCCCGATTATTATGTAGGGTTGAAATACAATGACTATCCGGTAAGTCAGTTGTTAATATCTGTTTAAAGGGCAACTGCGAAAAATCGCCCGATTCTTGCCTTCAAATTTTGTTTTTAAACTAAGTGCTAAATAATTACTTATTACGAGAGCATCCCGAATATAAAATCCACAAAAAAGTGAATACTCTTGAGTTAAATAAAAGAGTAGTAGCTGAGTCATGTCAAATGGTGCAACATTTGATGCACTCACTGTTTTTACTTGATTTAGGCTTATAATTTAAAATAAAGTGTAAGTTTTCTTACCTACAATCAACTGTTTTTGTAATCTTAAGTCTTATCAAACTTACGGTTTATTCATACTAATAAAACGTAAGGAGTTGAAGTTTTTGTGGAGTTTATTACTGTATAGGGGTAATTTTCAAACAAAATTTGAGGGTGAGAAAATGGACGATTTTTGTGGTCATTTTTTTTTTAATTCATTAAGTTGACTGTGTATAATTCAATACAATGACAATATTGATAAAATTTTATAACACTTTGCTATTTGTCACTATGTGATCTCATCTTGAGAAATGCGTAAACATTTTTGACGAAACGATTTTTCCATCCAAACTCAATATAACATAATACATATTTCATTTACCATAAACAAATAATTGATAAAATTATTTTAATTAATTTTATTGCAACAGCATTAGTTTGATTTGTCAAGATTCAATGTAATAAGGACAAAACACTACTACAGAGTTGATCAAATAAAAATTGCATCACATTGTTTGATTGCCATTAATTGATGCCTTTAAAATATACACATCAATTTTAAATAATTCACTATAAAAGTTTTATTTTTATTTGCATTTTGTGTTTCGTGTTTTCTCAAATATTTGTGTTTAACTGTAGTTAGTAACTTAAGGTAGTATACAGGGTGTTCCTAGAAAACTGGAAATAATGGCGGTTACTTTAGAATACGCTTGATATAGGTCATCATCATCATTATCATAAAGTCGTAGTCCTAAGACTGGTTAGACATGCATCTCCACTCCTTCCTATCCTGAGCTAATCGTCGCATTTCCTTAAAACTAGAACGACCCACATCCTTAACTATTTGCGAACAGTAATCTAATGTACGTCTACCTCTACCCCTCCTAACTCCCGTTTCTGCCTCTAATATATCTCTGACTAGACCTTCATGTCTGAGAAGATGTCCTACCAACCTATCTCGCCTATTTTTATTGACTTCTCTGTTCTTCTATTCTTTCCAGCACCTCTCCACGGTGTCCTCATCATTCGCCTGTAACATCACATTTCGAAAGCTTCCAACCTTTCCTTTTCCGCAGCGCCCACCGTCCAATTTTCGCACCCGTATAGCGCCGCACTCCAAACATACACCTTTAACAATCTTTTTCGAGTATATAATATAGGTACAACAAAATAAAATCAAAATGTCTTTTTTTGATAGCCATAACCAGCCTGCTTCGCTGAGCATAACTTTTTATACCCCCGTACACCAAACTTCTAATTAATTAAATAATCAAAATAAAGATATAACAAACATTTTTCCACATTGGAGCGACATTCTCTTCATTTGTTAATGTAATAATGATATAAAAAATACGCGAATTAAACGTTACGTCAACAGGGTCGTATTCAAAGACCGAATTTTTTCTATTTTTTATTTATGTATTTATATGTCATACTTTTAGATGTTCAATTATAGAATTTACGACTTGTATTTGATCAACAGCGGTCACCACAAGCTGTATATTTATGACTAAATCTAAAATACGATAAATAAAGTATTCGAAGTACCTTCGTAAAAGTCAGTAAAAAGCATTTTATTTGTTTGGGTTACTGTGTATTGGGCAGTAAAATCTCCCTACGTAACAATTAATTATTCATAATGCTTGCTAAATTCTCAAAAAAATTTTTTTTTTTACTTTTAATGTTGAAAAGGCTTATTCACTTATTGACCCACGCGGTTGCTTTTTTGCTTTTAAAGGAAGATCGGCTTATGAAGTCGGATATAAAGCTTTTCAAAAAATCCTTTAATGACATTTTGTGCTTAATTGAAAGCTCCAGGGGCATGCTAAAAGTTATTATTATCCGAGGAAATAGTATCAGACAGAAGCTGGAAGGCAAAGTTGTCAATTGATCATTATCATCATAAACGTCTTGATTGGTCATGTACCTCCACTTCTTCCCATCTTCAGCCAATCTTCGTATTTCTCGAAGAGGTATAAAAAATAGGTGAGATAGCTTGGTAGGACACCCTCTTAGGCATGAAGGTCTAGTCAGAGACATATTAGAGGCAGAAACAGGAGTTAGGAGGGGTAGAGGTAGACCTAGATTAGATTACTCTTCGCAAATAGTTAAGGATGTGGGCTGTTCTAGTTTTAGGGAAATGCGATGTTTAGCTCAGGATAGGAAAGAGTNGAAGTATTGGAGAACAGAGGACTCCATGCAAGTCAATAAGAAATTAGGCGTGATAGGTTGGTAGGTCATCTTCTCAGGCATGAAGGTCTAGTCAGAGGCAAATTAGAGGCAGAAACGGAAGTTAGGAGGGGTAGGTAGAGGTAGACCTAGATTAGATTACTGTTCGCAAATAGTTAAGGATGTGGGCTGTTCTAGTTTTAGGGAAATGCGATGTTTAGCTCAGGATAGGAAACAGTGGAGGTACGTGTCCAACCAGTCTTAGGACTGACAACCTTATGATGATGATGAATCTATCTCTGCCCCTCTTAACTCCTGTTTCTATTGTTTATTGACTTCCATATCGCCTTCTGTTCTCGTACTCTTTCTAATACTTCGTCATTTCCAATCATACATGAATCCTCAGATTTCAGTTTCTGACGCCGTCATAAACACGTGAAATGATTCCTTAATGGAAAGCTACAAATTAGATGGATTTAGAAATTTCCGCAGTGTAAACCATTTGTTTAAAATTGAGTTTTTCGAGGCATAATAAAAATATTGTGAACAAAGAAGGATGGTATTGTAATATAGTTTGCTTGTTGGAGATTTTACTAACAACATCAATAAATTATTAGAAAAATAATCAAATACCCTTGCTTCCTATTTCATTTACTTGATTTAGGCTTATAATTTAAAATAAAGTGTAAGTTTTCTTACCTACAATCAACTGTTTTTGTAATCTTAAGTCTTATCAAACTTACGGTTTATTCATACTAATAAAACGTAAGGAGTTGAAGTTTTTGTGGAGTTTATTACTGTATAGGGGTAATTTTCAAACAAAATTTGAGGGTGAGAAAATGGACGATTTTTGTGGTCATTTTTTTTTTAATTCATTAAGTTGACTGTGTATAATTCAATACAATGACAATATTGATAAAATTTTATAACACTTTGCTATTTGTCACTATGTGATCTCATCTTGAGAAATGCGTAAACATTTTTGACGAAACGATTTTTCCATCCAAACTCAATATAACATAATACATATTTCATTTACCATAAACAAATAATTGATAAAATTATTTTAATTAATTTTATTGCAACAGCATTAGTTTGATTTGTCAAGATTCAATGTAATAAGGACAAAACACTACTACAGAGTTGATCAAATAAAAATTGCATCACATTGTTTGATTGCCATTAATTNAACAGAATTAATTATAAATAATAAAAAATGTCTACATATTACCGACAAAAGCGACATTAATTAAATCAACAAAAGTAAAGACGTATGTATGTATGTACATTGAACAATCGGAAGGGACAATGTTATAACGCCCAGCTGAACATGAGACCGCCATAAAATACAAAAAGAATAATTTTAATGGAATGGTTGACCATTGTATTGAGATTAACTATTCTTTAGTAGACTGCAGACATATCAAAGCTCTAGACTCCTATGTACATATATAAAGAGGGAAGGTATACCTTTTGGAAATTTTAGAATTACACAATAATTCAAATATGATTTATTTAATTATTAACAAAAAAGACATGAATTAAAAAAAAAAAACATTTATGCTATTTATCCAAGGTAGTGGCTACATGAAGGGGGGCTGTATCTCAGACACGAAAATAAAGTGGAAAATCATTCGGAAGTGTAGGATAGTTAAGTAGTTAGTTAATAGGTGTAACAGAAGTGAGGAAACGTTTGAAGTAGGTAGGATTGATAAGGCTTATAATATATCTAAAAGGTGTATGTTTGAAGCGAGGCGCTGTACGGGTGTGAAACATGGACGGTGGGCGCGGCGGATAAGAAAAGGTTAGAAGCGTCCGAAATGTGGTTTTACCGGCGAATGATGAGGAAACCGTGGATAGAGAAGGTTAGAAATGGAGAGGTATTAGAAAGAATAGGAGAACAGAAGACACCATGGAAGTAGGCGAGATAGGTTGGTAGGACACCTTCTCAGGCATAAAGGTCTAGTCAGTGACATATTAGAAGCAGAAACGGGAGTTAGGAGGGGTATAGGTAGATCTAGATTAGATGTGGGATGTTGTAGTTGTAGGGAAATACGAAAATTATTAGCTTAGGATAAGAAAGAGTGGAGTTGTGTGTCCATTAATCTTAGGACTGACGACCTTATGATGTAGTGAGTGATAATACAGGGAATGAGTCAGGATTAATGAAATTAGTGACGAGCAATGCAAGATCAAGTCTCATTTTCTCATTGTATTTTCTAGATCTGTAAAAGCTAGGTTGAAAAGAGCTGTATTCAAGGGACATCGTTGTCTCAGCCCGTTAATCGTGCTAATTTTTTCAGACATTTCTTCATTGATTCTCACTTTAAATGATGTCGCTTCATATATTATAAAGATATAATATATTTTACTTACATTACTTATTTTATTTATTTGTTTTGTGCCAGAACTAGAATTGTTTTATTGATTGCCACAAATTCGTTATTCAATCGATTTCATAAATCCACCGGAATTTTTCGTTTAGTCTTGCGTATTTGGTCTTGGTTTTAATCTTGGTCTTGCTAAGTCAGTGCTCGATCTTTCGACCAAGATCAAGATCAAGACTGCAAGACCAAGATCAAGGCCAATTTTTCTCCTTACTAAACAAAA